CACTCAACCGAGCCACCCAGATGCCCCTGTTCATTTGTTTTTTAAAAAAAATAATTGCTGAGTATTACCAATTAGATCAGGGTCTAAGTGGTGGGATCAAAGCACTGATATTCATTTTACAAACTCCCCTGGTTGTTCTAGTTCATGGCCAGGGTTAATAATCTCTGTTCCAGAACAGATCTCAAACTTTTTTGTGCCCAAGAATTATTCCAGAGCTTGATTAAAAAACAAGAACAAACACCAAACAAACAAGCAAGCAAAAAAGGCAGAATTCTGGGCACCATTTCCAGAGGTTCTAATTCAATAGAACCCCCTAAATCTGTACTTAAAAAAAAAAAATCAAGGTGATCTTGAAATAGGTGGTGTTCCAGAACACAACTTAAGAAACTTGGCTCTAGAAGCTAACTTTGGAAAGAGACCCTGAACAGAGGAGCCCTGATCTCAGGCTTAGTCAGGAAGAGGCCAGAGGCCAAGCGACCAGAGCCCCAGCTGACACATCCCTCAGTCAGGGACGACAGCCTCTGGGGGCACCATGTGAACAGCCACAGATACTCACCCTTCCACCTCCCCTTCCCAGCTGTCTTCACAGATGCATGAAAGCAATCTAAGCTGTCAACAACAGTGACCCCACACCTGCTTCTTCAGACCCAGCCAGGGTGTGCGGTTCTGAAAAGCAGAACCATGATGCCAGAAACACAGTTCAGTGAGTACAACTTTAGGGTGGGCATAGTACATGGTGCATGGAAGAAAGAAGGCAGAAATAAAGTCAGACCCTGGGTTTAAATTCCAGACCTATCGCTGTGGAAGTGACCTCTCTTGATATTTGGATTCTTGGTTAGGAAGGTGGCTATCATCACTCCTATTGCTCGAAACTGCTGAGAAGACCAAGACCATAATGAACAACACGCACCCAAACCCCTCCAGGCTGGAACAGATGCCTCATTGGGGTGGAGTCCTGTTCACTCTGCAGCACCAAGTAAAATGCCAGACAAGTTCTTTTGTGAAAAGAACGTTAATACAGAGTATCTTCTAAAAGAGTGGAGTCCACCTTTGTTTGAAACTGGGCACCACAACAGAAATGCTCACTTTAGGGAGAAAAAGCTCCCACAACATGGAGGGAAGCAAACACCACCAACTGATTCTGGAAGCTGAGCATTGGCTGATTGGTGGTGCTGGTGGTGGTGGTGGTGGAGGAGGAGGAGGAGGAGGTGGTGGTGGTGGTGGTGGCGGTGGAGGTGGCAAAGGGAGGGTTTGGATCCTTCAGTCTGTGGCCTTTGGAACAGGGACATGGGGGAGCCTAGGGCAACCAGGCAGGGATAGGGAGGTCGACTTTCTCCAGTGATGCTTATCTCCTTCCTCACCCCGCCAAGAACCCAGAGGAACCTCTCACAAGCAGCTGGTCATGGCGGGGCTGTGTCATGGCTACCCCCACACCCAGTCTGGGCTTCAGGGCTCATTCGGCTATGTCCACAGAGGCTCTCATCTCAGGGACCCCAGCTGAACTCATTAGCTCATTTTGTTGAGCATGTCGCCATCTCAAGAGCCAATGGACCTTAGGGTTTTCCCAACACAGTCACGCGCCACCCCCCTTGTCCCACAGTGCTCATCTAGCTTCAATGACATCCCAGAGAAGGGGGGGTGGTCCACCACAACCTGAGCAGGCCCTTTTAGAAAGCCCTCTATTTGTAGCTGCTATCCACTTGTCTTTTTTTTTTTTTTAATTGAAGTACAGTTGACTCATGCTATCCATTTGTCTTCATTCCCCCTTGCAGTCACAGAAGACACATGGTAACAGTTCAGAGCTTTGTCGACTGTCTCTAGGTCTCCTGAATTACCCAGAACTCTCTCCATCACTCTGTAGCACAGCTGTGCTAACTGCTGCTGATTTTCTTGTTTCTGCCCAGCATGCCATCCCATTAGGGAACCCCTCCCTCACTCCACAGGGAGTCTGGATTTACAAGTGGTCACCCATGGGGATGCTGGGCTGGGAGAAAGTAAACTTAGGTTTGCAGGTGGCCACATTCCCTGCCATGTGGACACAGCCCACACACCAGGGAAACTAGAACAGTGATGACGTGGCCTGAGCTTCTGGGATGATGCAGCCCTTGGCTAAAAGAACCAGTATATTCCCTCTTTGGGTTATTAGCAGGTTCATATGGGTTTCAGACACCTGCAAACAAAAGCATCCTGCCTAATACATCCTCAGCCATTGTTTTATAGGCTCTCAATACCTCTGCTTTGCTTGCAGCCCTTTCTTCAGCTGGGTCCTGAAGTGAAACACCATCTGGGAACCCTATGCCCCAGCTGGGTTTGAGCGGAGCAGAGCAGGTTCACTGCCTCCCTGACGTGGGCACTCTGCTGTGTATTGGAGAGAGGTTAAGGTGGTGCCAACATTTCTGGCAGCCACACCAGACAGACAACTCACACACAGCACAAACCCCAGCATCTCCCTGCTACCAGTGCAGCTCATTTGTGGGGAAAGTTCTCTGAGAGGAGCTTAACAACTGGAATAACAAAAATAAGACTGGGGAAATTCTGGTATCAACACAGCTGTTTTCCATGACAGTGACAACTTCCAGAAAGTCACTAGTTAATGTTCCGGGTGCAGACAGCTCCTAGCTCATGAAACATCCCAAGGACACACCTTGCCTCTATCACATTAAGCACACTTCCTAGGATAATGACCCCAGTTCAGTTCCATCAAAAACTGAAATGCCTTTGGATCCACAGTAGTGGAAGCAGCATTTTAAGAGAGGCTGGGAGGCAAGGTGACTGAAGTTTCAGAGTTAGAGCTATACCTAAATACCAACTCGCCAGTAACCATTTTTGTGGCCTTATGAACGAGCCTTAGTCAGTGAAAAAAAAAAGATAACACCACCCTCCTTCTAGGGTTACTGTGGGATTTACATAACTTAACAGAAGTAAAACACAGTGACCGTCACACATTTTACCCTCTATTGTTACTTAACTTCTGTTGGTAGTCAGGACACCCAAGGACTTCAGGCCCTGCTGTCCTGTGCCTCAGTTTCTCTCTTTAAAGCTCTTTTAACTCAAATTCTATAATCTTGAAATAAAACAGACCTGAGCTGAATCTTCCCTCCAGGACCAGCTGTGAGTTTCTGCTGTCCCATATAAACAGGAACCAGAAGACAGAGATTCCAATTACTCTAGTCTGGACTCTCTAAGCTCTCTTTTGCACCATGCACCAAGCACTCTGGGGACTGTTTCAAGGTACACCCATGCTGCTGGGGAGCCAAATCTCTCTTACCAGCCTAAGTACATCGTGAATGCTCCATAAGTACTTCTAGTTGACTGCATGGCCCTGGGGCAGAGGTGAGAAGAACCAGGGGGTGGCATGGTGACTGGCTATTGGGGAGGCCAGTGAATGGAGACAAGGTGGTAACACAGGGCAAGTGAAGGTGGGTGGACCTCTCGCCGGGCCAGGTGGGGGTGGTGAGCATGCTGGGAGGACCCTGCCTAGAATCAGGGCACAGCAGGGTGGGCTGGGCTGCACATTTTGCATCCTGAGGCATGACTACCAAACCTACAATATTCACTTGTGCTCTGTGTGATCCAACCACCACATAAGCCAGAAAATGTCCTGGTTTTGAGAGAACCCTCCTTATTCTGCTCATGTCAGAAAGCCAAGTCTGACTTCTGTTCACTACACCCCTCCTTCCTAAAGAATCAGGAACATGCATGGTCTGCCTCCTCCAGCCCTGGCCACACCACTCTCCCCCTATCTCTCCTTGACTCCCACTGTTCCCTTCCCTTAATTTCAATCAACTCAAACCCTCTGGCTCTTCAAGGCTCTATACACATGCCACCTCCTTCAGAACTCTTCCCAGCATCACAGCCCACAGTGACCTCCACTATTTCAACTCCAAGCACTAGGCCAGACAGATCTTTGTAAACTCGTTATAAACAAGTCTGTGTTATTTTGGAAGATTTTCTTTTTCTAACCCAGACTATTTGGGAGTTTCTCAGGGACTCAGAGAGTCTTATTTTTCCTCTTACATGTCCCTTAGGCTTCTCTAGAGCTGGTTATACAGCAAGTGCTCATCAGATCTGGAAGCTAACTAGTTGATACCTAATCAAAGGCTCTGATCTTGTCTCAGTGTGGGGAGGGCCCCTGCATCTGCTACCGCAGGGCCTAATGTTCGTCATCTTGCTTCTACAAGGCTGGATGACAATCCCCATGTTAAAGACACCTCAAGCCAGGTACCCAGGGGAGCTGGGGGAGGCACGCCCCATGGCAGTAGCCTGGGTGTCCTTCCACAGCTCGCCCCACTCTCTCACACCCACAGTTAATTAAAGGTCACATTCCTTCAGTCAATTTCATGGTTTAGGCATCAGAAGTGCTTTTCACAGTGGGAGCTTTCAGAGAGCCGGGGTAAGGAAACAATAGCAGCCCTCTTTCATGTAGAATGCCTCTCACACTTCTCCGCCAGCTTTCTCTCAGTCTCTGTGCTCTGAAGGCTGATCTCGAGCCTGAAGCTTTCTCACCTACAGCGAGGCGCCCAGCGCTCTTCTCCTGAATGCAGACGGGAGACTAACCATACCGGGGGCTCCCACCTGGGACACCACGGTGGGCCTCAGAGCTGCAGAACTCCATGTGGAACCTGTTCCCACAGCAACAAAACAAAAAAAACCACCAAGATACTCGTGGCTGAAAATGCACATCAGTGGCACCCTATGAGCCAAACCTCTGAGGAAGGAACAAGTTACTGTTTAGAAGCCTTTGGGTCCTGACCGAGGATGGAAGAGATCAAGATCTCGTACCCTCATTTCATAAGACTGAAATCTTAGAGCAGAACTCACAAGGAACTGAACCCAGTGTTCAAGGTAGTAAGAAATAAAACTCTTCCGATTTAGACAGGAGATGTCTTCATTTGGGATCCAGATTTGGTAAGAACTTTGGCTTTGGGCTTGGCTCCATGAGGCTGACACGCTCAGAAAGGTGCGTGTCCAAGGGAGGCAAGATGCTTGACATCCCTCACCTTTAGGTCCAAGTACTCCAGGTCCTTCTTCAGCTGGAGGTAGGTATCATCAGCCTTCAAATGAATCAAAGAGAGAAAAAAGCCAGTTATGAACACCAAGGGTTTCTAAAACTTGGGGCTTCGTGTGTGAATCCTTGACACTGCACAGCTTCGGGGTCAAGGAACTATATAGCGGGCTAATATCTGCAGCCACGGAGGAAGCACAAATGTCTCAGTGTAGCCCAGAGCCTTCTTTGAGCATTAAGGATCTTGCAGGTCACTGTGGGGAAAAGCCAGTGAGTCCTGCAGTTGGCGGGAGGCGGGAGTGGGGGGTGCAGTTTGATGGGGAGACAGCACACATACCACCACAGGGCTAGGACAGCAGTACAGCTGAGGCCAGTGGTGAGCTCCTGAGACAGAACTGGAGAGATCTAGCTAGAAGAGGACAGGCAACCCCTGAGCTAGGGACCCAACAATCACCAATGCTCCAATCCTTGTCATCAAAACTTTTCACTGGCCCACTTAATATGCATGAGGCAAAATGACCCTCTGATTAGTGTGGCTAATGTCTCAAAGGGGCAGGGAGATGACCTGGGGACCCAGGTGGGTCCTGACATGACCTTGGGTTCTAGGATGATAAGCTCCAGCAGCTACTGGAAGTTTCAGCTCTCTTTGCTCAGCACGGGACCATGTCAGGAGCTAGCTAAGAAGTTTCAGTGTCAGACCTATCTGCCTACACTGTCTCTGACAATCCATTGAGTTCTTCAGTGTAATTACCAGGAACAGTGAAAATAAGCAAAAGACTTTTTCATTTTCTAGGACCTGTGTTTCCCATTAATAGCCCACAGAAGCTGTTAGGCAGAGGGGCTGTAAATGCTTAAGAAAAATGGCCCAGGCGCCACTTTCTCAACCAGCTAAGAGGTCTCCCAGCAAACTGAGGCAAACCAGAGCTGCAGGAGAAGGCCCTGTTTACACCTCTGATGTCAAACAAGTAAACAATGTGAGATGTTCAGGCTGTGCTTTTAAGCATGAGAAGACCTAAAGGACCATTGACGGGGAAACTGGTGACTTCTGAGATGGTATTTCCATCTCTAAACTGTCTCCTCACCCATCCCTACTCCTCCAATCAGCCCAGTCCCTATACACCTTCAACAGCAGTAAGAAGGACTGAGCAGAGGAATATTGTTAAAAATCCCTCAAATTCACAACTTAGGGGTTTTGTTGTGTTCTCTCACATTCATTTTTCCAAGTACATTTCCTGGGTCCCTCTAAAAAGGACAGTTAAAGAAGGTGACACTCCTGTCACCTTCCTCTTCTGTCCCCTGCCTACTTTCATGTAGTCCAGAGGGACCAATCTTGTATGGACATTGTTAAGCTGCTCAAGATGCCTGGGAGAGCAATTCCTTGGCCACTCCTTAAGGAGCTTGCCTGCAAACCTCCATGTCTCAGAAGGTTTAGAACACTATGGCAGATAGGACCTGATTTGGGCTCCAGCCCGCACGCCACTGGCTGAGGGGTCCCGGGCAGGTCACTTCCCCTTCTGGATCCGGTGCCTTGCGTGTGGCAGTAACCCCTGTCCTCCCTCACCTCTCCAAGGTACAGTGAGGTTCTCCAGGATAAGGGACATGAGGATGCTTTGTCCAGATCAGAGAGGACGCCCTGCCTTTTCCCTCCGGGTTGACACCAGTGAAACACACCTTTCTGCACCCCAAGGAGTGGCCACAGTGGCAACAAGGATGACAGCCAGCACAGCCCTTCAGACATGAGCACACATCAGCCTGGCAGTCACTACTCACAGCCGGAGAAGCCACCGTCGAGGTCCCTCACGGCACATGCAGGCCCCTCCCCAGCACCAGAGGCGTGGGCTCCCCCCTACCCCCGGCCCCTGCACAGTGTCTGGCAATAGCGACCAGAAGCAGACAGGCAGGGAATGAGGGGACGAGCCAGACAGCAAATACAGACGAGAGCGTGGGCACGAGGAAACACGGGCCGGCACATCACTCCGTTGCCCCACAGCAGGGAGGCCCCGGCGCTGAGAGAGCCCAGCAGCGCTGACCTGGCAGGCGGGCCACGTCAGCTGGTGCTGCCGTAACTGGCCGACGGCGAGATTGCGCACGCGGGCCAGCCGCGCCTGGTGCTGCCGTAAGCGGGTGAGAAGCCACGAGAGCTCCTCCAGCTGCAGGTGTGTAGACACATCACGAGGAAATTAGCCACCGCAGGAGCACGACGCTATAATTGCTCTTCACCCGGGGCCGGGACAGCACTGACGTGACACCATTAGGTAATTATTGCATTAATTCTGTCATCAGGACAAATAAAGGTGCTGGCAGAAAAGGGGCTACAGGAAGCAGGTCTTATCTTTTTTTTTTTTTTTTTTTCTTTAGGAAACAGCAACGAACATTGCAACCTCACCCCGACGGGAGCTTTAAAGGCAAAGTTAACTAACCAAAGCAAAGACCTGGACGAGAGGACAGGAGCTAACGGCAGAGACGCTGGGAAAATGCTGCCTGAAAGAGAAGGAAAGCCCACATTCTCCTTCATTCCCCTAAGTTCTCCCTCCGATCTTGGAGGAGCCCAAGTTGGCTGGATGACACAGAGCAAGTCACTGGACTTCTCTGAGCCTCAGCTTCCTCATCTCTAACGTGGGGGCTGACGGCGGCCCTGCACACTGCTGGCAACGGGCTCGGGGTGGGGGAAGCACCGGCTGAGCCGGCACCCGGCAGGCAGTAACGCATTCACGGGGCAGGGGAGATGAGGGGCGGCTTACCGATTTTCCATGGAGACTGGGAGCGCTGACCGTGTGGGTCACATAGCCCATGGAGGGCATGGAGCGGCGGTCCACGTGAGAGGAGTTCTACAAGTGGGGAGACAGGAGATCAGCCTGTGGGCTGAACCTCTGCCCCCTCCGCCCTTCTCTGCTGAGATGGCCTGGCCCACGGCACTACCCCTCTTCATCTGTGAAATGGGGGGTCCACGTATTTCTTACTGGGTTATAACAACAGTAAACTGGGGAAGCCCCCTGGAGAAGTAAAGTTGAAGTCGGGTTATTATGGGTTATTATAAATTACTGAACCGGCTGAACACAGACATCTTTTCCCGTAGACTTCCAGTTGGATGATCCTTCGTCTCTTAATGCCTCAGAGTTCTCATCTGTGCAATGGGCATAACAGCACCTACCTCATTGGGTTGTGGAAAGCATTAAAGGAAAGCCTTTAGTATTGCACCTGGCACCTAAAAGTACCACAGAGATGTCACCTCTCCTTATTTGAAATTGCTCAAATTAGTGTTCAAATCATGGGAGGGTCCTGGTGCCCTAAAGCTGAACCCCACTACCTGGCAGCCCTCCAGAGACTCACCTTGGTGGCGTGGCCCCGTGCCTTCCTGGGAGAGCCCCCCAGGGAGATGTCCACACTCCTCCGCTGGTCCAGGGGCTTCACGGTGACCCTCTCCGCTGGCGTGTGCGGCCGTCGGGGTGGGAAAACCCTCGGGGGGCCCGGAGGAGGGATGTCGGAGGGAGATGGAGGCACAGAGATGGAGCGGGGCACCTCCAGCATGCTTCTGCTCCGGCCCTGGTCAGTGAAGTCCGGGGAGCCGGCGCAGATGGGTGCCGTGGGGCTGCCATGCCGGAACTGCTGCCGTTGCTGCCACTCATAGAGCTGCCACACCGTGCCGTCCCGGTGCGCCCGGCGCTCCTCGCTCGACATCTTCAGGTGACTGGCTCGGTCCTGCGCATACTTGTAGTCACTGGGCAGGTCGCGGGGAGGGGGCGAGGAGCCCCCTGAGGGATATCGGGAGCTCTTAGGCAGAGTCTGGTAATTTTCTGGGAAGGACAGTGACTGACTGGGACCCTGGCGTGGAAGGGTCTGGTCCAGGGGCAGGCTGTGGAGAGAGGAGGAAGACGGGTAAGACGACCAGCACGGAATCGTGCCGGAAACACGGCGAGGTAAGTCCACAGTGCCAGGCACGAGGGAGCCCTGCGAGAACCCCCAAAGAACAATCGAACCAGAAGCCCCGGACCTCGGTCACTCCCGCCCTATGCGGAGGACTCTAAAACGGTTGTTCTCCAACCACCTGGGAGTATCAGCCTCCCCATCAGGCGGCCTAGCTGCCCCACACCCAACGCTTCAAGTGCAAGGTGATGAAACCGGCCCCCTCCTCTCCCTCTCACTATCCGTCAGCTCTTCCAAACGGGTGTGTCTGTTCCTAGGAAATGCCTCCTGATTCCCCGGTCACTGAGACTTGCCCTCTGCTGGTATCCTCACACCAAATTCTGGAGGCTTTTAATGCAAGTGGCTGGCACCAGCTCTTTTCTTTTTCTACTACTCTAGTCCAGATACTGATTTAATCATTTCCCCCCCCAGATCACTCAGAGACCTTGCTAACCAGTGTCCACACCGAACACAGTCAACTGCTTGGATCTAATCACTCCCTTGCTCCAAAAACGTCAATGACTCCCCACTGCTTATGAAATAAAATTGAAACTCTTCAGCCTGGAACTCACCACTCTCTAGCACCTGATCCCAACCCACCTTGCAATCCTGCTGTTTTCTCACTGCTTCTCCCATAGGACTGGGCTGGGGCAAGCCAGGTGTCGAGAGCCGAACAGTTAAAGAGGCACATCCACTCAGGTGCACCCCAGCACTTGCTGGGATCTAGGAATGAGAGCCTCACCCTAATCCCACCTAGCCTCCTACATACCTGAGCTACTTCTCAGAGTGGGGAAAATGTGGAGAGAGCTTGACCTGGGTTTGAATGCTAGCTCTCCCATCCATTGGCTAGTTGACCCTTGGATGGCTCTGAGCCTCAGCTTCCTCACCTGTAGGTAACATGAGGACAGAACTATCTCCCTCATAAGACTGTTCTGAAGAGTAAATGAGACAAGAAAATGCAGCCTCCGTGCTTGATGCACAAAAGCTACTTCTCAATAGGTTCTCCCTTTTACCTCTCTTTATTCTCATAGTATTGTTCTTCCCTCCCTTACCTGTATGGGGTTTCCTTGCCCTATTCACCCAAATCTCACTCATTTTCTATGACACTATCCTATGCTCCTCCCAGAGAGAACTTCTGCAGCTCTCAGGGCTCCCACTCTGCTCTGACCTAGGTATTATGTTGTAGGAAATTTGTCCAAGGTCTTTTTATTGATGCAACCTTTTCATCCTTGAAAGAAAGACATCTCTTCCCCAGCCAACCTGTAAATCCTCAGAGGGCAGGAACTAAGTCTCGCATTCTGCGGTATTGCCCACAGTCTGACAAAGTCCTGATGCATAACCAGCTAGTCACTGCTCTAAGCCAGTGCATCCAAAGTATGGTCTTGGATGGGCAGCATCAGCACCACTTGGGAACTCATTAGAAATGCAGGTTAGGTGGGGCGCCTGGGTGGCTCAGTGGGTTAAAGCCTCTGCCTTCAGCTCAGGTCATGATCCCAGGGTCCTGGGATCGAGCCCCGCATCGGGCTCTCTGCTCAGTGGGGAGCCTGCTTCCTTCTCTCTCTCTCTCTCTGCCTACTTATGATCTCTGTCTGTCAAATAAATAAATAAAATCTTTTAAAAAATAAAAAAAAGAAAAAAGAAATGCTGGTTAGGGACGCCTGGATGGCTCAGTGGGTTGAACTTCTGCCTTCAGCTCAGGTCACGATCTCAGGGTCCTGGGATCCAGCCCCACATCGTGCTCTCTGCTCAGCAGGTAGCCTGCTTCCCGCCCCCCCTCTCTGCCTGCCTCTCTGGCTACTTGTGATCTGTCAAATAAATAAATAAAATCTTAAAAAAAAAAAAAAAAAAGAAATGCAGGTTATCAGTCTCCACCCCAGATCTGCCAAATCAGAAACACTGGGGATAGATCCTGGCCTCCTGTTTTCTAACAAGCCTTCCAGGTGGCCAATTAAAAAGTGCTATTCTAACTGTTCTTAAATTCATCTCATTTAATCACTTTCTCACTATGACCTCAGTAAATGTCTTTTATGTCCTCACTTTCCCTCCTATAACATGAGGATACTAAGAACCTAACAGATTGTTGTGCGGATTAGAAATAGTTGTCATTCAAAATGGTAGATTTCTTCTCTTTTTATTGTTATCTTTGCAATTATGGGAGGTAATTTTAAAATCTCTTCAGCCAGACTTGTCTAGGGCGTCTGGCTAGCGTGTCTGTTTGCCACTAGGTGGCAGGGTTTACTACTGCTTTCTCAAAGTCAGAGGGGACTGTGTATCTGAGCAAGGGACAGTGGCTGAATCCTCAAACAGCAGCGGTGGCAGCGGCAGAAACCAGGCTGGGAGCCTCCTCCCGGGGACTCCATGACTTCACCAACCATTGTTCACTCTGACCGATGCAAAATTCAGACTATGCAAATTACGTCCTAGCTCTGCTCCCAAACCCCTTCGGTCTGGTTTTGCAGCCTGTTCTCGGTGCCTGCCAGCCTGCCAGTCAGAGTCCCCACAGGGTGGTGCCCCAAAGCCCCAGCTTCATCCTCTAGCCTGTGCCCTCTGCTTCTGCATTGTCTGCCATACCCCCAAGCCCTCACTGCTGGCCATTTGCAGACAACCCCCAAAATCCCAGTGCAATGGTGAGCTCCAGAGGCCAAACCAAGAAAACTAACCAATGATAGAGTGAGGGACACAGGAAGAAGGTTTGCAAGAAGAGGTAAAGAGCCCCCCGAAATAGGCAGGAAGTACCCAGAGCAGCTCTGTCCCTGAGAGCAGATCCATGTGCTGGCCACCAAATCCATCCTTACCCAAAAAGAAAGCTCCAGGTCCCCTGCCCTCATACCCTGCTCTGTTCCAAGGGGCCTCCCTGTTCCAAAAGGCACCAAAGAGGATATTCTCATACAGCCACTACAAACTGGTCATATCAAAATGTAAAATCAACTTCTATAACCAGTTATGTCTGCAGCAGATAGTCCTCACCCTACGGTCCACATTTAATTGTGCAGGACTTTCACTTTCTATACTGTTCCTCACTGTAACAGCTGAGTCCCTGATTCCATCCCCACCCCTGCCTTTTTATTACAGGTATGTAAATTACTTGAAATACCAGAGGGAAAAAAATGGAAGGCTAGAATTTCAAAACAATCTCTTAGAATGTAGAATTCTAAGAGTATGTCAGTCTGTCCTTGCAAAACATCATTCTACAGGAGTTTAATGATGGAAAACACAACATATTATCTCCAAGAACTAAAAAAACAGAAATAATTTCTTGCGTGGTCTAGACCCATGAATATAAGATCATATTACAGTACAAATAACCCTCCTTCCTGTGTCTAATGTGGCCCATCGAACGAGACTGGCACAGTCTTAATCATACAAAGCACAGCCATCCCTCTTCTGTATTTTCAAATGTTGGAGGCTCCTTCATTAAGCAGCCAGATCTACTTACTACTTGACTGTAAGAAAATACAAGTGTACTATTAAGATAAACAGCAATTCTGAGAATGCAAGATGCAGTCCTTTCCAGATATAAGTGAATGATCAGAGACCGTGCACTTCGCTTACTCACAGACAGCTTTCTTCTCAAAAGGGTGTCTTCAGGTCCTCATTTTTTCTTTCAGCCCATTGAGATCTGCTTCTATCACCAGACTGAAGTTCCTCTCGCTGTGCACTCAGTGACTTCCAAGGCCAATGAACTGTTTTCATCTACAGACCTCATGTCACCTTGCCCCTTAGACAAGAAAGGCTCAAACTTCCAGCTCAGATGCAAGGAAAGTCCAACGCTTTTCCCAGCCCTGTCATCTACTTTGCAACTGACTCATCATGCTTTAGCTCCCCTGGGTGCCCCGGAGCCCCAAGCACAGGCCCTTGTGTGTAGTAGAGTAACATAGGCTTGTGGGCTGCCAGAAGCAGTTAGGTAGAGACATTTCAACCAACAGCTTATAACTGCATGATCAGTCACACAGCTTTTGAGTTCTTTCTGTGCCCCTGCCACAAAGGGTTTCTCACTGGCCATGTGACCTTTTCTGATTTCTTCCTGTCCTCCTCTCCCCGTACTGTGCCTCCTACCCTAACTTGAAAATCCTAACTCCACTCAGAAGAATGGGTCATGCCTGCCCATGTAAGCCCATTAAGGCGTTCAGTGGAACCCAAATCCCCAGTGACTGAGCAAAAGACAGCAGAGACCTTAAGGTTCCAGACACTCTTTCGGTGGCTCCCAGCCTCCTTCTAAGGAGAAGGCACCAAACCAAGGAGAAGTCCTCATTCCCAGCACAAACCAGACTCCTTCTAAACGAAACTCCCTCCCTCACACTCCAGTTCCCTGCTCCCCAACCCCCGCCCTTGCACCCATCTCCTGCTCACTGCCTTCACAGACACTACTCTTGTCCACCCCTTGGGCTGGAGGCCTCAGCGTTCCACCTTTGGCCCTCTGCTATGGCTCACTCTGAGCTACGGATTCTCCAGCCTGGCGCACATCAGAATCCTAGGACGGGCAGGGAGGGGTGTGTTGTTAAAACTCCTGACCTCCAGGCTGTACCACATCTACCTACTAACCAAGCCCAAGTCAAACTGTTCAATGTCAGCTCCACCTGTGGCCCTCTTCACCTTCCCGGCCTCGATGAAGCAATTTACCAAGCTTCATACCTACCCAGCCTCAACATCTGTGTATCCTACCCATCCTCCTCAAAAGTCTCATCATCTTCACTGCTTCGGTTTGTGTCTTCCCCACCTCCTACCCAAGCTAGGACTACCTTATTATACTCGATCATTGCCTCTTTCCAGGCCCTTCTCCATCTCGACCACCTTCCGTGTGGTCACTGGAGCAAGGAGTTAACCTGAAACAGTAGTTCTCAGTGCTGGACTCAGTGCTAGTTCTCAGGTGGACAAACTAGGACACTTTGGAGGACAATTTTGTAATAACTCTCATAATTAAAATGGCATATATCCTCTGACCCGGTCGCTCCACTTCAAGGAATCTGTTCTCTAAGTACGCGCGCACTCATACTCAGAGACAATAAGGCTGGGATAGTCACTGTAGCATGGTTTGTAATAGCAAATGTTTTTAACCAACCTCACTGTCCATCAATAGTGAATGGTATAAATACCACTACAGATGCATACAATGGACTGCTCTGCTTATTTCAAATTAATGATGTATGTCTGTATGTGCTGATATGGAAAGACAGCCAGAGTACATTCAGATATTTACATACAGACTTCCGTATATACTGATACATCAAGTGAAAAAAGCAAGCTGAAGGACGGGGTTAATTTTTCTTTAACAAGGTGGTTGGTCTTTAGGGAGTGAAAGTAGGTTTCCAAAATAAAGTAGAAGGACCCTTGTTTTTCAGTATTTATCTTTGGTATTTGGATTTATTTATTTATTTACTTTGTGAGTGGATTACTGATTATTTGGGGATACTGAGAAAAGGGAGATTTAGACATGTAGCTTTGAATCTGGTAATGAAATTGTAATCTGTACAAAGAAAACTAAGTAAACCACAAGCACGAAAATTATCAACATCAGAAAACAAAAAAGTTGTTCAACAAAGTAAATTTAATTACAGTATATTATGGCCCAACTGTGAATATTTATATTGTCATAATAATATAAAAACTGACTAGTGATCTGTACAAAAATTATGCTATATTGTGAAGCCAGGATAAGGGTAAGTCTATGTCTATTGGAAAGGCACAGCAGGGAACAAGAGACTTCAATCTTTATCTTCTCGAGTAAAATGTCTATTGATAACTAAAATTGAAAAATCAAGAAGGAGCAGTGTAAGTATCTTATTTGAAAATACAGAAATTAATTGGTAAAACCGCTGAAAGAATTGAAGGTGGTTGCCTCAAAGGGACAGAAATCAGGAGTAGGGACAGATGGGGGCCATACTACTTAAATCCTTAAATTATGTGCATAGATTAATATAAAAAAAAAACTTTTAAGAGTAAAAGTAAGGAATCACTAAAAACTACCATTCACATTATGGGGAGGGCACATCAGAATCACCTGGCAGATTTCTTCACGGTATACATGGACCTGCTGTTTTGGAGCTGGCATGTAGTTAGGACTGTCCAGGCCACAAAATCTCCCCAGGTGTCCCGATACCTCTTTCCTGCCAATACCCTTCAGACCATCGATGGCTTTCACAGGCCTCCAAGACTAAATCCAAACTCTTTAGAAAGAAACACAGGCTCATCTGAGCTAAACCCTTAGCTTTCCTATTTTCCCCTGGTTCTGATTTCTCCTGCTTTTACCTCCCCTTGCCTGCCCATATTGACTACAGTTCCTAAGACGTGTGACCTGTAAGAGAAAATAGCCAACTTATCATGAGTAGCTTCTCTCTGACCACACTGTCTCCTCTGCCAGATCCCCTTCTGCTGCTAACTCCCAAGTGCTGAGGTGCCATTAATGTGGTGACTACTCCCAACCAGAACTCAAACCCCAACACCATTATCCATACCCAACTGTCTACCTGACATCTCCCCCCGGATAGCTAATAGGCTTCTCAAACTTACTGTCCAGGGCACCTGGGTGGCTCAGCTGGTTAAGCAACTGCCTCCGGCTCAGGACATGACCCGAGAGTCCCATGATCAAGTCCCACATCAGGCTCCGCTCCTAGCTCTGCGGGGAGTCTTCTCCCTCTGGCCTTCTCCCCTGGAATGCTCTCTCTCACTCTCTCTCTCAAATAAATAAATAAAATCTTTAAAAAAAAAACAAAAAAACAAAAAAAAACACCTTACTGTCCAAAAAGGGAACACTGACTTCCCCTGGTCTTCCTCCTAAGCCTTCCCTGTCTCAGCAACCACCTGGTTGTTCAAGTCAAAACTCTAGGGATCATCCTTGTTCCTCCCTTTCTCTCATCTTGAGCATCCAACTCATTAACAAACTTTGCTGTTTCAACCTCCAAAATGTATCTCAAATCTTTCTCCTTCCACTGGACCATCCTGGACTTCTACAATAGCATCTTCCCTGGGCTCTTCTTCCTGAATTATTAATCAGATTACATCATTTATCTGCTTAAAACTTTCCAGTGGCTTCTCCTATTGCTTTTTCAAATAAAATCCAAATTGTTTTACCTTGGAGTAGGAGACCTACATGATATAATGCCTGCTAGCTTTCCAACCTCATTCAGCGGTGAGGGCACTTAGAATCACCTTCCAGGGGTGGGTCTACCTAGCCCAGCACCAAGAATAGAAGTTTCTCTCCCTTGTGTCTCTGGGAAGTAGCTTTCTGTTTTTAAGAAGACATGAAATTTGAACTGGAATTGACACCCGGTCAGTCCTAGGGTGGGAATGGGAAGGTATCTTAGCTACGCCACCAAAAGCCTTCCTTTTCCTAGTCTGTCCCACAACAATGTCTATCAATTCACTGGGGGATTTCCACGGTAATTTCTATACTAACCATCTAAACTCACAACTGCCCACCTAGACCAGATTCAAGAGGTTACACAACCTGCATACACACAGCACACCCACACACCTGGAAAGAGGCCAAGGCTATTCCCTTAGGAGCACTTGTGCCTCCATAGCCCACAGGGGGAGAGTCTGGGCTCCACCAACAGGGACAATGTAGTATGGGTTTTAGAACACGTTTATCAGGCGGGTAAGTCTGTGGCAGACTTGGTCTGAGCTCTGGCACATCCACCGTAGCCCCTCTAGTCCCCAGGGAGCTTTCTGAAAGCACCAGGGCTTCGCTATCTCTTCTCCAGTCAGTGGCCGGTTTTAGAAGCCCGGGGATGATGAAACAATTTACTGTCTTCATAAGGAGGACAAAACACAGCGGCTTCTGGAGAAAATGGGGAAGCCGGTGACCCTGAATTCTTCACGTTCAGAAATGTTCCCTTTTTTATCTAAAACTGTAATAAAATACAAACAGTGCTTTGCAAATAGCAAAAACTGCATGCCCCTACATAATTAAAAAACGACTTCTTGAAGGAATAGGTATGATAAAGCCTATTGTCAACAGTGCCTAAGCACTTCTCTGTGTGCCTGGAATTGAAAATGGATCCGTATTTACTCTATTCTCTGCAAATATTTCCCGGATGCAGAGAAGGAGTGGAGTAAGAGGAGATCAGCTACTATCGACATACTGACTGTCTCAAGGCACACTCGCTGGGGAACCAAGAAGCCACCTGATGTAATCTCAGACAGGCTTGGGAGGTTCACAGACCCGGGTTTGCACTCTGGCTTTGCCTCTTACTGAATGGCCTGGGCAGGTTCCTTCATTTCTCCAAGCCCCCGTTTCTTTGTCTATAACTTGGGGATATCACCCTCTCCTTGCAGGGTTGTTACAGGAATTTACGGAGCTAGCGGAGGTAGAGAGTTTAAGGCCAGCACTTCTGCAGCACGTGCTGGGAAATAATAGCTCCTATTGTTATGTTATTATGCTCACAAGTAGCAGCCATCCTGAGTCCATTACTGACCTCCTGCCGTCCCCCTTCTGGGCTTTTGCCCAGTGCTCCACCTGGGCCAGGCTGCTCTTCCTCTGGCTGTGCTTTTCAGTGTTGTTCCTGGGAGGAAAGGCCCGTTGATACCCGCCGGTCCCATTCTGCTCTCCTGGGCCATACATGCCGGGCAGCACCCCGTTCTTCTCTGCCCGCTGGGGCTGTGCTTGCTGGCCTCTCAGACCACCAGGTAAGTCCACGAACAAGGCATCCTCCTCAGCCGGTGAGTACGGGGACCTGGCCTTGCTCCTGTCCCGCTTGCCCTCCAGTGGGTCCCTCTGGGAACGGTACCGTTCTTCCTCTTGCTCCCGCCTCTCAAAGCCAAAGGAATCCTCATGACTTCGATGAGGACAATCCCTCGCATGTCCAGGTCCCACGCGGCCACACTCTCGACAGGACTCTATGTGGTTGGCTTGGGGGACCGCCTGCCGCTCTACCTTCTCCACGTCCCTGCAATGACAAAGGCACATTTAGCCCATTCCAGACAGCTCCACAGGCAGCCAAGACTCCCCGAAGAACACACTCTATATGTGAACTTCATCCAGGCCTTTGCATGGGCTGTTCCATCCGCCTGGAATGCCTTTCACACCTGGTCCCTCATTCTTCCTGCCTAACTTCTACTCCTTCTTGCCTAACTGCTATTCCTTCTATTCTACCTGCCCTACGTGTTAGTTACCTCCCCCAGGAAGCCATTCCAGTCACATACTCCCAGTCTAGATTGGGACCTTAGCTGACTCCACTGTCACATTACTCACACTGGACCATAATTGAGTTTATTCATCTAATGCCCAAGCAGACCATGAGTTCCCTAAGGCCAGAGCCCCAGCTGGCCAATTATGATACGTCCAGAACTTTTGTGCAATGACTGGTAAAGCATAAGTACTTTATAAATACTCTTTAACAAGTAAATGATATATGTGACAATCTCATGCTTTCCTTTTTGCTCCTTGTTCAGCTCTCTGTTTGAGGCAGTCCAGCTTGGATAAAAGGCTCCTGAGCCCAGGGTCTCTCCCACTGGCATCTAGCATAGCCCAGAGGACAATTAGAGCACAATTAACACTCTCCTGAGCAGAGAACAGGCTCAGCAACTCTTTATATGACTTCTTACCTAGAGCTCAAACAAGAACCCATGAGAACACAACAATCTTCTGAAGTATCACTAGTCGGATTTTAGAAATAAGGAAATGAGGCACAGAGAAGATAAATGATTTTCCCAAAACTATACTGTTGTAGAGCCCATGTAGTTCCCACTGCCTCTCCATGTATGCCCATGGCCTACGTACATGCAGACCTAGAAACTGCAAAGGAGAATGGGGTGGGGGTCTTCAGTCAGGATGTGAATGGAGGATGGAGGAAGAACTTCTGAGGGCATCAAGTAGGGCTCCTTTTTCGTGGCCTGTCTCCTACTGTAAAACCTTTCTACCCTACCCGCCTTCCTTGGGGCAAGATCCTCGTTATGTCTACATCCCCATTACTTGATAACAGGGACAGAGCAGCAGCTCCATAGGCTTGGCAGAATTTAGACTGGGGAAGAAGGAGAATGCACTCCAGCCTAGCCCAGAAAATTACCAAGGATCCTTGGCTGGGGCAGCCAGTTTCCTTGATAAAAAGGTCCTGGCCTTGATCTCCATCACTCCTCAGATGGCCGAGCTCTCCATTTCAACATGAAAGCATACAGTGGAAATGCTGCTGCATTGACATCTTTGTGGCCACACACCAGGCATTCTTACAACAACCTAGGAACCTCAGCTACCAGTAATCAGCACAGACTCAGGGCTGAATCAATCCAGTCTGGGAGATAGTTAAAATATCAATGTAAAGTAACAATATAACACCTAAGGAAAGCAATCATGCATCTCACTGTCCACGTACTCTCCTGACCATCCATGAAAATACAAAGCTCTGTTTAAAAAAAAAAAATTGATTTCAACATTTCAATTTTCATTTGGGGATCACCTCCCCCACTCGCAGTCCATATGGTTTGGGTGCTGCTGACTCTACTAGTCCCTGTCCAGCTGAGGCTCCCAGTCTCAGTGACTAGTTCGGGGGTTAACACATCACCTATTCCAAGCCAGGCAGAATTAGTTCTGGGGCTTTGGTTGGAGCAGGTCTCAAGCTGCTATAACTATATGGGAATCAGCTATTTGAGAACGAAACCAACAGCAAGGAAAGCAGATGGAAAGAAACAGAATCCTAAAAACTTGGCCTGAGCTCTGAGATTTAGCCATACCTAAACCAGATATATCCTTGGACTTTTTGGTTGTGAACCAATAAATTCTCTTTCTCACTTAAGTTAGTCTGAGTTTGGTCTCGGTTACTCTTAGCGGATAGAGTCCTGTTATATCATTTGATAATGACATATTCAGATTGTGATCTCTGAGGGCCCTTCCATTCTATAAGCTCCAGCAGTGGGAACATCTGGGAAATATTCAGGGGCTATACTTTAAGAAAAAGCAATTCTTACTGTATGTTCATTAAGGGACAACTCTTTTCCAGTGTACATTATAGGTTTTAACTTTGTTGTCCTTTCCTCCTTTAATCCTCCATAACTGCATCAGTGTAACCCCCAACCAGTAGCCTTCAGGTTGCCTAAGTTGGCCTTTATCTTCTTTACTGTTTCTCACACTCAGTGATCTGTGCTAACACTGTTGCCTCAAGGACTAGAGCTCTGGCTGCCCTCAGGGTCACACACCAGCCAAGTCACTGAAGCTTGATAACCTGGTTACTCTAATTGCAAGACCTAAGTAACTATCCCTCCTTGTTATTTCCACACCAACGATAAACAGCACTTGGTCACAAAAACCAGGCTGTGAAACAACCATGCCACCTGCATAAATGACATTAGAACTTAAAGGAAAAAGGGGTTTCCTCAACTCCAGAAATCAAGGAGTGTGGGTATGATGCCTCAGCCCAACCAACCGTAATGGGGATTTTCCTTTCTTTACCAATCAACCTCCATGGATTTACTGAGCAACTATCTATCCCCACTGGGACAGGTACTTGGAGGTATAAGAGGGTAGCAGAGAAAACAGTCCCTGCCATCAAAGCCAGACAACCCTAGAGCCTGATTTAATCATGGTAGCCACATTTACTACTTTTCTCATTAAGTGATCCCAAATTGGGGAGGTTTCCAGTCTTTTCTCACCGTGGAGCTAATTTATAATTATAAATCTTAGTCTTTACTCTTTGTGGACATATGACGTATACACGCTCACATGTGCTAGTACATCCTGGTGATAAAGTTGATAGAGAATGACCAATCCTTTTGTCAGATTAACACCACCATTTACTGCAAAATAAGCCTTAAAGCACGGTAGTCTGCTTGCCACCTGGTAGCCTTGTAGCCCTCAAACCTGGGATTATGAACAGCTCTTGGTCTCTTGACTGCTGGGACTTACATAAGATGCCTTTGTGCTCACAATAACCCAGGCTATGGCTGTAGGTAAGAAAGATGAAGGCAATGTCCTCTACTCCCCCATCTTAACTGACTTAAACAGTTAACTTACTAAGATATTTAAGGAAAAATGTTTTCTGGTTTTCCCCCCATCTCCCTGCATTCCCTACAATTTTAACAGCCAACTTCTCAAATTAGGAGATCTGTCACAAAATAGATTTGCAATGCTCCATTTAGCACAATGGTGGGAAAGAATGAAGCATCCCTCAGCTCTCAATGACTATCATTCGGAGAAGTTGGCTATGCAGGGCACACATGTTTAGCTAAGGTGACACAAGCCTTTCCAATGCAGGTCACTACTATTATTGTGAGCACTGGACTCAGTGACTCTTCAAAGTCACAAGGAATTCTTGGCATTCGGTGACCACTATTGGCCAAATGTGTCGAACCCAGTGGGCACAGAGTTTAGAGTCGGTGAAACCCGGTTTCAAGGGTTGGTTCCACACAATACAAGCTGGGTGACCTTGAGTAAGTCTCTGACTTCTCTGGTTTCATGTTTCTTATCTGCAAAATGGGGATAACAACCCCTGTTTCATTGGACTGTAGTGAGAACTAAAGGAGACAGTGACAGAGCACAGCACAGTGCCTGACACACAGCGCACCCTCAAACACACATGCACTGACTACCCAATACCTATTCTCTTCCTCTTCCTTGACCCCATACTTTCTAAGTGGCAATGTGTCCAGCAAAAAGTCACATTTCCCAACCTCCTCTGGAGCTGAGGGTGACCACGTGACTTAGATCTGGCCAAGAAGATGTTAAGATGTACACAGAAATTGCTGGGTGGGTCTTCCAGGAAAGTCTAAAAGAAGTCACGCTTAGCTGGCTTAGCTAACCCTCCCCTTCTTCTGCCTGGAATTTAGACTACATTGGATTCCAAGGTGACCAAAGTAAGGATAAAAGCCACCTGCTAAAACCTGGGTAGAAAGTGAGAAAGAGCCTGGATCCCTGCTGGCATCACGGAGACACTATACCAACCTGGATTCATGTTATGTGAGGAAAGAGAAATCCAGTTTGATGATGCTGTCCTAAGTTGGGTTGTTCTATTATGAGCAATCAAACACAATCCCTAACCTGTTACAAGGGGCTAAACGTTATTAGCAGAGATTGGGTCCCTCCATTTTTAGCACATTACGACAATCTCTGTGTCTGCTTAGAACATATCCTTTTTTTTTTTTTTTTAAAGATTTTATTTATTTATTTGTTAGGCAAAGATCACAAGTAGCCAGAGAGGCAGGCAGAGAGAGAGCTGGAAGCAGACTCCCCGCTGATCAGAGAGCCCAATGCGGGGCTCGATCCCAGGACCCTGAGATCATGACCTGAGCCAAAGGCAGAGGCTTTAACCCACTGAGCCACCCAGACGCCCCGAACATATTCTTTAAAAAAAAAAAAAGATTTTCTTTATTTATTTGACAGAGAGAGACACAATGAGAGAGGGAACACAAGCAGGGGGAGTGGGAGAGGGAGAAGCAGGCTTCCCGCTGAGCAGGGAACCCGATGCGGGGCTCCATCCCAGGACCTTGGGATCATGACCTGAGCCTAAGGCAGGCGCTTAACCAACTGAGCCACCCAGTGCCCCTGCTTAGAACATATTCTTGTCTCCTCCTGCAAGTGAGAAAGCACTCACCTCAGATTGGGGATACTTCTCTCTTCTTCATTTTCTTCACAAGAACTTAGAAGTTAACAGATCATACCAAGCACTGATTATTATTTTATTCTGCATCTAAACCCTTTATCTCACCAGGAAATAAGAACTACTATTTCCTTCTGTCTTAATGCTAAACACATGCACACACCGTACACATTAACTCTTATTCAAAGACTTGGGTGGGAAGATGAATGACAGCTTGTAGGGCCTTGGTTGGACTTTGGTCCAGTGGCAGATACAACCCTACCATCAAAATCCCACTAGAGGATTCCTTCCTACTCTCCATACCTAAATGACCAAACTAGGAATTCAAGAATAAGGGCCAGGCCACTGATATTCTTAGAGAG